GCCCCCCCCCCCCCCCCCCCCCTGGGGACAGAAGGTAGGGGCCCAATAGGGGAAACATAGCAAATTGTTCAAATACCTTCTTCTTCTGTACGAATGACAGGATTTTATCCAAATTTTGTGGGATGCTGTATACATCTAGCTCTTTGTTACTGTTTACTTAACTGTGGGTTGCTGTATTCATCTAGCACTTTGTTACTACATACTATACTGTGGTTTGCTGTTTACATCTAGCACTTTGTTACTATATACTTGACTGTGGGTTGCTGTATACACTTAGCACTTTGTTACTATATACTTGACTGTGGGTTGCTGTTTACGCTTAGCACTTTGTTACTATATACTAGACTGTGGGTTGCTGTATACACTGAGCACGTTGTTACTATATACTATACTGTGGGTTGCTGTATACGCTTAGAACTTTGTTACTATATACCTGACTGTGGGCTGCTGTTTACGCTTAGCACTTTGTTACTATATACCTGACTGTGGGTTGCTGTATACATCTAGCACTTTGTTACTATATACTTGACTGTGGGTTGCTGTATACATCTAGCACTTTGTTACTATATACTATACTGTGGGTTGCTGTATACATCTAGCACTTTGTTACCATATACTTGACTGTGGGTTGCTGTATACATCTAGCACTTTGTTACTATATACTTGACTGTGGGTTTCTGTTTACACATAAGCACTTTGTTACCATATACTATACTGTTGGTTGCTGTATACATCTAGCACTTTGTTACTATATACTTGACTGTGGGTTGCTGTTTACACATAAGCACTTTGTTACCATATACTATACTGTTGGTTGCTGTATACATCTAGCACTTTGTTACTATATACTGAACTGTGGCTTGCACTTCTGATTACATTACAAAGCATATTCACTGACTTCAAAATGTTTAGGGGTATGAAGTACTACAAGTTATTAATTATTTTGGTTATGGGTATGAGGTACTTACTGTAATAATATGAGGATCCTTGTGATGTTGCTAATTTTACTTTACTTTTGTTTCAGGTATGAGGATCCTTGTGATGTTACTAATTTGACTATACTTTTGCTACAGGTATGAGGATCCTTGTGATGTTACTAATTTTACTATACTTTTGTTACAGGTATGAGGATCCTTGTGATGTTACTACTAGATACCCTTCCTATGCTGGGAAATGTCCTGCTCCTGTGTTTTTTTGTTTTCTTTATTTTTGGTATAATTGGTGTCCAGCTGTGGGCGGGAGTGCTGAGGAACAGATGTTTTTTAAATATCAGTGAAAACATATCTTATGCACAGTAAGTGGCTACTACGGTGTAGTATGATAGAATAATTGTTAATTACTATGATAAACAGATAGTTTTTGAATATTAGCAAAAGCACATTACATGCTATCAGTATACCTACAAAGGTAGAATGCTTATGTAAATTGCATCTATTACACGCTTACAGAATATTTCTTTTGCTTTAATTTGAGACTTTATTTGATGGAATCTTAACCAAATGAATTTATTGCAAAATTTAATAAGAAAATGTGAAGTTCAAGATCAAATTCACATGCGATCATTTTTACTGCTATAAAAATAGATGTTCATAATTTTTTGTGGGTTTCAGTTTTGTGGTCAAATTTTTCTTTTTTAAATTTCAGTGCAAATCTTAGCCCATACTTCATTCCAAAGAAAATCAATCAGGACTATATATGTAGCATGCCTGGGGAGTCGGGTATGCGTCAGTGTAAGAACTTTAATCGGTATGAGTATGAAGGCATCAGATGCAATGGAAGTGCCCGCCCTTTTAGCAATAACACACCTACCAATGACTCTTGTATCAACTGGAACCAGTACTATAGTACATGTATGGCTGGCGACAAAAATCCATTTCAAGGCGCCATCTCGTTTGATAACATTGGTCTCGCCTGGGTTGCAATATTTCAGGTAAGCAGGCAGTTGAGGTCCATTTAAAGATGTTTATCTTACTAATGATAGATGTTTTATTATGATAGATTAATCAATTCACTTGAATCACCTATAATTGTTATACAACTTTGTGTGTCTCCCAATTCACAGGGATATCTAGATGTAGGATTGCCTCTGTCATTGAAACTGTAATACATGTATTGTGTAACACGTATTATAAAATTGAACATTATCTTAATTAATATAATGAGAAATTTATATATACAGTGTTCCTTATTCCATACGAGCCTTCCAGATTTTTTAATTCCAAAATATTGATTGACTGACTATACCCTGAATTGCACATTTGTGCGGAAAAAAGCTCACAACAGGGCAAATGATATTGGTAAATCGCACAGTTGTGCGCACAATGTGTGGACGATGTGCAGACAGTGTGTGAACAATGTATACACGATGTGCGCACACTGGTTTTTTTGGTGCGTTGCGTGGTCACACAACTGTGCGTTCGATTGAAGAAAGACTCCAAAGTGTTACTATGGAGTGAAGGATTATCCTGTCCCTCAGTGTTACTATAGAGTGTAGGGTGATCCTGTCTCATAGTTTAACTATAGAGTGTAGGGTGATCCTTCCCCCCAGTGTTACTATAGAGTGTAGGGTTGTCCTGTCCCCCAGTGTTACTATAGAGTGTAGGGTGATCCTGTCTTGTAGTGTAACTATAGAGTGTGGGGTGATCCTTCCCCCCAGTGTTACTATAGAGTGTAGGGTTGTCCTGTCCCCCAATGTTACTATAGAGTGTAGGGTGATCCTGTTCTCGTAGTTTAACTATAGAGTGAAGGGTGATCCTGTCCCCATGTGTTACTATAGAGTGTAGGGTGATCCTGTCCCCCAGTGTTACTAAAAAGTGTAGGGTGATCCTGTTCCTCAGTGTTACTATAGAGTGAAGGGTGATCCTGTCCCCCAGTGTTACTATAGAGTGTAGGGTGATCTTGTTCCTCAGTGTTACTATAGAGTGTAGGGTGATCCTGTCCCCCAGTGTTACTATAGAGTGTAGGGAGATCCTGTCCTCCAGTGTTACTTTAGAATGAAGGGTGATCCTGTCCCCCAGTGTTACTATAGAGTGAAGGGTGATCCTGTTCCTCAGTGTTACTATGGAGTGTAGGGTTGTCCTGTCCCTCAGTGTTACTATAGAGTGAAGGGTGATCCTATCCCCCAGTGTTACTATAGAGTGTAGGGTGATCCTGTTCCTCAGTGTTACTATAGAGTGAGGGTGATCCTGTCCCCCAGTGTAACTATAGAGTGTAGGGTGATCCTGTTCCTCAGTTTTACTATAATGTGTAGGGTGATCCTGTACCCCAGTTCAACTATAGAGTGTAGGGTTGTCCTGTCCCTCAGTGTTACTATAGAGTGTAGGGTGATCCTGTCCCCTAGTGTTACTATAGAGTGTAGGGTGATCCTGTTCCTCAGTGTTACTATAGAGTGAGGGTGATCCTGTCCCCCAGTGTAACTATAGAGTGTAGGGTGATCCTGTTTCCCAATGTTCCTATAGAGTGTAGGGTGATCCTGTCCCCAGGGTTACTATAGAGTTGTTACTATAGAGTGTAGGGTGATCCTGTCCCGTAGTGTAACTATAGAGTGTAGGGTGATCCTGTTCCCCAATGTTACTATAGAGTGTAGGGTTATCCTGTCCCCCAGTGTTACTATAGAGTGTAGGGGGATCCTGTTCTCGTAGTTTAACTATAGAGTGAAGGGTGATCCTGTCCCCATGTGTTACTATAGAGTGTAGGGTGATCCTGTCCCGTAGTGTAACTATAGAGTGTAGGGTGATCCTGTTCCCCAATGTTACTATAGAGTGTAGGGTTATCCTGTCCCCCAGTGTTACTATAGAGTGTAGGGGGATCCTGTACCCAAGTGTTACTATAATGTGTAGGGTGATCCTTTCCCCCAGTTTAACTATAGAGTGAAAGGTGATCCTTTCCTCCAGTTTTACTATAAAGTGTAGGGTTGTCCTGTCCCCTAGTTTTACTATAAAGTGTAGGGTTATCCTGTCACGTGGTGTTACTATAGAGTGTAGGGTTATCATGTCCGCCAGTGTTACTATAGAGTGAAGGGTGATCCTGTCCCCTAGTGTAGCTATAGAGTGTAGGGTGATCCTGTTTCCCAGTGTTACTATAGAGTGTAGGGTGCTCCTGTTCCTCAGTGTTACTATAGAGTGTATGGTGATCATGTATCCAAGTGTTACTATAGTGTGTAGGGTGATCCTGTCCCCAGTGTTTCTATGGAGTGTTTGGTGATCCTGTCTCCCAGTGTTACTATAGAGTGTTTGGATATCTTTTCCCCAGTGTTACGATGCAGTGTTGGGAGATCCTGTTACTATAGAGTGTAGGGTTGTCCTGTCCCCCAGTTTTACTATAGAGTGTAGGGGTGTCCTGTCCCCCAGTTTTACTATAGAGTGAAGGGTTGTCCTGTCCCCCAGTTTTACTATAGAGTGAAGGGTGGTCCTGTCCCCCAGTTTTACTATAGAGTGAAGGGTGGTCCTGTCCCCCAGTTTTACTATAGAGTGAAGGGTTGCCCTGTCCCCCAGTTTTACTATAGAGTGTAGGGGTGTCCTGTCCCCCAGTTTTACTATAGAGTGAAGGGTGGTCCTGTCCCCCAGTTTTACTATAGAGTGTAGGGGTGTCCTGTCCCCAAGTTTTACTGTAGAGTGTAGGGTGATCCTGTCACGAAGTGTTACTATAGAGTTCAGGGTTATCATGTCTGCCAGTGTTACTATAGAGTGTAGGGTGATCCTGTCCCCCAGAGTTACTATAGAGTGTAGGGTGATCCTGTCCCCCAGTGTTACTATAGATTGTAGGGTGATCCTGTCCCCCAGAGTTACTATAGAGTGTAGGGTGATCCTGTCTCCCAGTGTTACTATAGAGTGTAGGGAGATCCTGTCCCCTAGTGTAACTATAGAGTGAAGGGTGATCCTGTCCCTCAGTGTTACTATAGAGTGTAGGGTGATCCTGTCACCCAGTATTACTGTTGAGTGGTGGGAGATCCTGTCCCCAAGTGTTACTATAGAGTGAAGGGTGATCCTGTCCCCAAGTGTTACTATAGAGTGTAGGAGATCCTGTCCCCAGAGTTACTATAGAGTGTAGGGTGATCCTTTCCCGTAGTGTAACTATAGAGTGTAGGGTGATACTGTTTCCCAATGTTACTATAGAGTGTAGGGTGATCCTTTCCCGTAGTGTAACTATAGAGTGTAGGGTGATCCTGTTTCCCAATGTTACTATAGAGTGAAGGGTGATCATGTCCCCTAGTGTTACTATAGAGTGTAGGGTGATCCTGTTCCTCAGTGTTACTATAGAGTGTAGGGAGATCCTGTCCCCTAGTGTAACTATAGAGTGTAGGGAAATCCTGTCCCCAAGTGTAACTATAGAGTGTAGGGAGATCCTGTCCCCTAGTGTAACTATAGAGTGTAGGGAAATCCTGTCCCCAAGTGTAACTATAGAGTGTAGGGAAATCCTGTCCCCAAGTGTAACTATAGAGTGTAGGGAGATCCTGTCCCAAGTGTTTCTATGGAGTGTTGTGTGATCCTGTCTCCCAGTGTTACTTAAGAGTGTACGGTGATCCTTTCCCCCAGTTTAAGTAGGGTGATCCTGTCCCGTAGTGTAACTATAGAGTGTAGGGAAATCCTGTCCCCAAGTGTAACTATAGAGTGTAGGGAGATACTGTTTCCCAATGTTACTATCGAGTGTAGGGTGATCCTTTCCCGTGGTGTAACTATAGAGTGTAGGGTGATCCTTTCCCCCAATGTTACTATAGAGTGTAGAGTGATCCTGTTCCTCAGTGTTACTACAAAGTGAGGATGATCCTGTCCCCCAGTGTTACTAAAGGTTGTAGGGTGATCCTTTCCCGTAGTGTGACTATAGAGTGTAGGGTGATACTGTTTCCCAATGTTACCATAGAGTGTAGGGTGATCCTTTCCCGTAGTGTAACAGTGTTACTATAGAGTGTAGGGAGATCCTGTCCCAAGTGTTTCTATGGAGTGTTGTGTGATCCTGTCTCCCAGTGTTACTAGTGTAGGGTGATCCTGTTTCCCAGTGTTACTAGAGAGTGCAGGGTGCTCCTGTTCCTCAGTGTTACTATAGAGTGTAGGGTGCTCCTGTTCCTCAGTGTTACTATAGAGTGTAGGGTGTTCCTGGTTCCCAATGTGACTATAGAGTGTAGGGTGATCCTTTCCCCTAGGTTAACTATAGAGTGAAAGGTGATCCTTTCCTCCAGTTTTACTATAGAGTGTAGGGTTGTCCTGTCCCCTAGTTTTACTATAAAGTGTAGGGTTATCCTGTCACTTGGTGTTACTATAGAGTGTAGGGTTATCATGTCCGCCAGTGTTACTATAGATTGTAGGGTGATCTTGTCCCCCAGTGTTACTATAGAGTGAAGGGTGATCCTGTCCCCTAGTGTAGCTATAGAGTGTAGGGTGATCCTGTTTCCCAGTGTTACTATAGAGTGCAGGGTGCTCCTGTTCCTCAGTGTTACTATAGAGTGTATGGTGATCATGTATCCCAGTGTTACTATAGTGTGTAGGGTGATCTTGTCCCCCAGAGTTACTATAGAGAGTAGGGTGATCCTGTCTCCCAGTGTTACTATAGAGTGTAGGGTGATCCTGTCCCCCAGTGTTACTATAGAGGGAAGGGTGATCCCGTCCCCTAATGTAACTATGTTCCTCAGTGTTACTATAGAGTGTTTGGATATCTTTTCCCCAGTGTTACGATGCATTGTTGGGAGATCCTGTCTCCCAGTGTTACTTAAGAGTGTAGGGTGATCCTTTCCCCCAGTTTAACTAAAGAGTGTAGGATGATCCTTTCCCCCAGTTTTACTATAGAGTGTAGGGTTGTCCTGTCCCCCAGTTTTACTATAGATTGTAGGGTGATCCTGTCCCCCATTGTTACTATAGAGTGAAGGGTGATGCTGTCCCCTAGTGTAGCTATAGAGTGTAGGGTGATCCTGTCTCTCAGTGTTACTATAGAGTGTCG